TTGATCAAATATTCTTTTATTAATGAACAAAATCATAAGGAGAATCAAATATATAACTGTTTCAGGTGTGCATATATTAGATCATGTATTCAATCACTGGTGTTTCTCATGTTTATTTATTTATTTATTTGATTTGTATCCCGCCTATCTGGACCACCGGACCACTCTAGGTGGCTTATGTTAAACTTATGTGTTCAGTCTTGTTTGTCCACAATGTATTACTCTTTCGATTTCCTTTCTTAACCCCTTTTTAGCTATTCCTAAACCCTAGCACCCTCTCCACATCATCTTGTCCCTACCTCTCTCTATCCCTATCTGATTCCAACTGTCCTTAACTGTCTCTTCCAGCTGTCTTAACTGTCATTCTGACTCCGCCCCTCCTGCTCTATCCTCTGATTGACATGCAGGAATGACATCATCTTTTGGGTTCCACTACAGTGTCATTTTTAAAAGAACCAAATAAATGTTGTTTATTGTTACAGCTGATGAAGGTACAATCAATGTTGTTAACTCTTAACAAAACATCCTTCTTCATACACCATCAACCACCAACTCTCTCTATCCATCCCAAACTCCCAACCTTCCAACTCTCAAAACCTTAAAACTCCAATCTAATCTCCTCATCCTGCAGAGAATCATCTCTAATCTAAACTACTATTCCTCCTGCAGAGAATCTTCTATCTTGTGACTCCACCTCTCCAGCACTCTCATTGGTCCATGCAGATAGCATATGAATATTAATGACCTGGATGGACGCCACAACCATTTTCTGATTTGTGTCCATAATTAGACCATTATGCTTGTATGGTAGAAGCAGCATTTGGGAGTAGCCCCATCTTTCCTGCAAAGGTTTCCTACCTACTGGATTGTATCTACACAAGGTGTGAAAGGTGAAAAACAGGCCAACTCTCCAACTGGGCAGACTGAGGGGAGAAATGCTCATATGGTGGGTTAAACGAAGTGGTAGATCACAGCCACAAGGCTGTGACTACATAGAAGAGGGTAATCACCTTGTAAATTCAGCAAACAAAAGGAAAAACAGCGGTATTGCTTATTCGATTCAAGAAAATCCATTGAGGCCTA